AGGAAGGAAGGAGAAAAAAAAGAAGGAAGGAAGGAAGGAGAAAAAAAGAAGCAAAGTGTTAAAAATAAAAAATAAAGTTCAACTGCAGGAATTCCTAGTCAACCACTTGGGAGTCAAAATTTGGTGTTTTTTTAAACTGTAGCTCTCTGGCTTTTCTACAGTGTTTCCCCACTGTCTTCCTACTTCAATTTGCCACTGAAGAACTGCTATTTTATTTCAGTCTTGGGGTGCTGTTATGATATGTAGTTTCTTCTGGTGTGCCATCTTTCCCTGTTCTTGGCAGCAGCATTTTAAGCAAAATGGAAATTAAGTAATATGGAATACCAGTTATTAATTGCTAACCTAGAATTTATTACTGAAATTATTTATTCATCCACATAAAAAATTAACCTACTATCTTTCTTTTTATTTTTTGCAGAGCTGGAAATCAATCCTAGGGGTTCATGCATGCTAGGTAAGCATTCGACCACTGAAACACATTCCCAGTTCTATTTTTTTAAATCATTTCTGGCACTGAATATGTAGTTATTAAGCTTGTTTAACCTTGATGAATCAGAAACCAGGTTTATCCAGTACCTGATATTCATATGCTTTGAACTCAGATATATACAAAGAACTTTTTGTTCATTCTTTTAAGGCAAAGTGTGAAAGAAATAAAAGAATATGACTAGAGATAAGAAATAGGATGAAAGAAAGACCCCTTTGCAGAAGCCACCTAGCTCCATAATATCCTAGAACTTCCAAAAAAAGAAAAAAACTTTGATTCACATTATAGTAGTCAACAATGTTTTATTATACTATGTAGAAAATGAGTTTTTTTTTAAAAAATGACATGTATTTTATAACATGTTTAATAATTTTAAATATAAATCATTTAATTTATAAGTTAAAACTTATATGAATATCATTGTTTCCACATTAAGAAAAATAGTTCATAGAAGATTGTGACTGTAAGAATCCTGGAAGAAATTAGTAGTGTGTCACCTTCTTAGTGCCAAATCACATGTTCCTATCTGTTGATTTAACACTTGTCTTGAGGGCTATTAGGCTTTTTAGAACCAATAATGTCTCATTTTTCTTTGTTGCATTCCACTTCTAAATCATATGGGTGATATTTTGTAAAAACTGGACATTAGATATATTATGGTTGAAATTAATGAAAATTATTTTCTCACTATTCTCTTTACTACCAGTAAAATTATCTGTGAATTTAGCAATAAATCAGTGTTGGAGAGTTTTATGGCTCTATATTTCCCAATTTAACCATGTTGTTATTAAAACACTTCAGTATGATTAATTTGGAAAAGATGTGTAGCTTTCTTTAAAAAGTAATTTAAGTATATATGCTGACATTTTTTATGGGAGAAATGATATGTTTAGGATTTGTTTCAAATAATGTGGGGGTACAGAGGATAAGATAGCTCATTAGTTGAACACTGATGATCTGGGTGATGGATACAAAAGGGCTTATTTAGTCTACTCTGTAAACTTTTGCATATGCATGGAAAAAATACATTAAAGGATTAAGTACCTATAGTAAAAAAGAGTGATTTTGCTTCTTATCCTAAATAGTAAAATATTGATCACCATGTTTGGGTACCAGTTTTCCTTCTAAGGAAATATTAAATATAGTTTTCAATACTTCTTCCACTTCTTCCTCTTTCAGAGTCTTAAACTCTACCAGGTCGACACCGTCCTTATAGTTGAATCTCCTATAGGTGAGGGTGAAGCCCACTAAACAGTGAACCCCTTCTGGGGTCTGCAAGGAACAAAATGATATACCTGTAAACACAGAGGCTGGGGATGTCTGAAGGTATGTATTCACAGACTCAAAATCTTCAATTGTTCTAGGTTCAAGAGTAAAGGAGTAGATTTTTTGGTATTTTTCCTTATCTAGGAGATCGGAATTGAGAAATTCTTGGTTTGGAATGTGCTGCTCTCTTCTGATTTGGTCCAGGTACCAGATGCCTTCCTCCTCTGTCAAGCGGAAGATGCCTGGCATCTGAGGCTGATCCTTCCCAGAAATTAATTCCAGAGGCTGCCACATCTGGTAGGAACATCCAAATGATGCATCAGCAATATAGTTCTTGCCACTGATGGTCACTTTTAATAGAAGGTGAACCATATGACTGCTGTATTTGTTGGTTGGAGTGATGTAAACATATCCTCCCAACATAGTGGTCTGAAAACCCATCGTGGTCAGAGCCCAGTATAGAAGATGATTGACCTGGAGGCACCACCCACCCCGCTTCCTCCTCACAACTTGGTCAAAAACGGTCTCTAAGTCCAACTCCATAGGTTCCCCACAGTGCATGTTAAAGTTCTCAAAGGGGATAGCTCGGATCTGGTGCTGAAGAATGTTAGTTAATGTTTCCAAGTCCAATTTGTTCCTAGAGTTCTTATAGCCAATTCTTTCAAAATATGCTTCAATGTCCATGGTCCCTAAAGTAAGGAAAATAAAACAAAAACAAAACCAAATTATGCTACTTTTGCACTTGGATTTCCTAGAGCAGCCTAACTTTAGCTAGAATGTGTTTTAAATATGTAGATACAAATAATGCTTGCAAGTATCTATAATAATTCTTTTGCTTTGATTGGATGAAGTGATATATATTCATAGTTCACTAAAGTTCCAGCGACCTTAGCAGGAAAGTCTTATCATTTCTTCTATCTTTCAAGTATCAAAAACTGGAAATCCAGATTAAATGATGAGTCAAATGATAACCAGTTTAGATGTGGTTTTCTTAGTGACGAATAACCCTGAGTTCCAATTGGTATCCATTAAGATAGGCTTCTAAATGGTTCTGGATTCAAACAGGAGAATTCTACAGCAGAGTAAATGGCATTCATGGTACTTGACCCACTCAAATTTCCCTTTAGCAGAATCTTACGTGATTTTTGTACTCAAAGATTTATGTTGATTCACTCACTGATTGATGGATTGGCTCAACGAATATTTTACTGGGCTGGAGGTGTATCTTGTTGGTAGAATGCATGCTAAAATGTCATGGGTCAATTCCTAGTACCATAATTAAATAAATAGATAAATATTTAATTAAAAATTCTACTTTTACCCTTCAAAATATTACAATTGTGTGAAAGTTAGAATGACACATTTAATAAGTAGATAAATAAAACTTTTCCAAAATTTCTCAAATCTGTAAGAGTGCAATAAGATGTGGGAAATACTAAAGCAAAGAAAGTGTATAGCATGTGTATAGGGAGAGTTTCAATGCCAAATAAGGTGGTTGTAGAAAGGCACACTAAGACCTCAAGGATGTAGAAATGGGCTCTGTGGACATATGCGGAAGATTGCTCCTAGTCCAGAGGTAAGGCAAAGGCTCTGTGTGGGAAGCTGCCTAGAATGTTTTAGGAACATCTAGGAAACTAGAGTGATAGGAGTCAACTGAATGAGAAGAAGACTGGATTGAGTTGAGATCAGACAGGTAACAGGGACTTGATGGACATTGTGGGTGATTTGAATTTATTCTGAGATGAATAATTTAAATAATGAAGGCAGGTAAGAGGAGTGTTATGACTTGACAATGCTTGCCATAATCAGAGTGATCTTTCTGGCTTCTTTGTGGAGAGTGGGCCATACCTACTGAGCTTCCCAGATAGTCACATGAACCAGGAAGGGCCAGTTCAAAACAATCTTGGTCTGGGTCCAATGCTTGGGTCACGATTGGCACGTGGCCCAGCTAGACCAGTGAGATAGATGTTGATGAGGGATTTTCTGATGTGGGGCTGAAAGCTCATGGGCCATCAACCAAATCTATGGGGAGAAGCTATAAAGAAAAACACTAACAAAAAAAAAAATAAAAGAGAAGATGAGAAAAGGACTTGATGAAACCTAAAGCTATGTTTTTATAGTCAGGTAATATGAGGGGAAAAATAAAAAAAAGTCCCTTACTTTATTTACTCCACTTAGCCAGGATTTTTAACTTGCCATCCAAGAGCTTTGATCTCTTGAGACTTTGTGACAGTAGTGCACAGACCTTTGTGATGTGCCACAGCCTCAGATGACATGGTACAAAGGGTCCCCTGTGCTGATTGGTGATAAGCTAAGTATGTCTATTTTCCCTCTTGATATCCTCTCTCTCTCTCTCTCCCTCCCTCCCTCTTTTTGATCTAGTGATCCTTCTTACATTGCCGGTATTTCCCGCTTTCTCTGTTCTTGATGTCTGCAACATTTCCCCTGAGTCTGTTAGAGTAGTTGAATTACTCCTCATCCAAACTTGCATCTGCACCCTTCCTCACACTAACTAGCACCTTTTCTCAACCTTTAGACAGCTTCATGTCTGGGGAGAACAAATGGTATCTAGTTACACCCTCCCAGATTTCCTTTGGCCCATAACACAGAATCTGCACTAAGTATATAAGGAAGAGAGGAGAAGACTGAGCCAAAAGGGAAAAGATATTTTATCCATGCCTAGTCCTATAATTATGACTTAGATCATCCAGCTTTTATTAAGACATCACTTTAGAGAGCTAGAGATGTAGCTCAGTGGTAAAATTCTTGCCTTGTATGTGCAAAGCCCTGGGTTCAAACCCTAGCACCCTGAACCGAACCAAATATATATATATACATCTAGAAATCATTTTCTGTTTCTTTGGGAATGCTATAATTTGTTTTCAAGTGTGTTTTCTGTCTTCTATCATCCTTCCTACACAGCTCTCCTCTTCCTCCAAAGACTATTCTTTTTCTTAAGGCAAAATATTGCAGCTCCTTTAGAACAAAACCTGTTCTTGTTGAGGGCCTCCATATAAAAAACATGTTTTAGCCCAATAATACTTGGTATTGTGACTACCCTAAGCAGTTTTGTATTACTAAAGCTGTGATTCCAGGCTTAAGTGCTGAAATCACTTGGAAAGTTGTTGCCAGGGAAAGAGTGACTCAAAACGCTCATCGCTTTACACGTTGATTGGTAGCGTCTCTGCGCAGGCATAGACCCTTTCCCTGCAGTTTGATCATTAACAGAGGAGAAGACTGGAAGGAGGCAATGTGAACGTACAAAGAGCTCAAGGCAAACTCAGAAAGTCACTTTGTACCTGTCTTAGTAAGTTGAATATGAAAGTCTCACAATGTTTCTTCTTCTTGGTGCAACTTCTAGAAATAATGCAAAAGTTGGTTTCAAAAATAGATAACGTGACTTTTATCGAGAACAAAAGGGTAGAATTTTGGACCACAAATTATAAAGAAGCCCTAAAAGTCACATATAGAGGAACGGGAGGGAGTTCATAGTAAGTTACCATCTAAATTGCCTAGGAACAGTGTAGAAAGTAAAATCATGAGAAATGGAAGCAACACTGATGGGCTCTAAGCCTGGGGGTTCTGGAAGTCACCAGGAGGAGACCCAGAGGCAATGCATTAGATGACTAACTGCTGTGGGAATAGCCAGAAGGTGAACCATATCCCAAGCCAATGATTACTATCAGGATATACACCAGACACATCACACAACAGTATGTACTGGCAGCACCCAGCCTTCTTTAACCTGACAATAATATCGAGAGATATTGGGATATAAAAGGAAATGTTGTTTCCAAAAGGGAGGAAGGATCACTCATAGAAAAAATGCCATTACAATATCTATTGTCATATTCATCCTCTCTCACCTCCTTAGAGAATATCAAGAAGTTCAAGCCCAGTACCAGGCAGACATCTCATCAGCCACAATATATTCAAGAAATACATAAGTGGTAGAAATGAATTACTCAGTCATAAATATGATGACAAAACAAAGTGAGAAAATACTATGAAATTGGAATTAGAATGTAAGACATAACTTGCAAAAATGTCATGTCCAAAAGACAAGCAACAGAAGAAGAAAATCAACCTGAATAGAAAGTTCTTCACAGATACTCTGCAGCATAAAATACCTAAAAAGGACTCAATAATAAAGAGTGAAAAAAAGGGTGATAATACAATGTGGCTTATGGAAAGAAAATTTTCAGAAATTAGAATAGTAATTAAGGACACAAAGTCTAGAGCTAATGCATAATTAATGATAAACAGAAAAAGCTATATTGATTGCCGCAGTCTGGCTGGGCACAATTCAGGAGCCACTTGTCAAAAGAAAGGAACTTTATTTTTAGAACCACACACGCCAAACAAAACAGCTCCTCAGGAAAAACCTTCAGAGCCCAACTGCCACCAGGGCTTCCCCCAAGCCTCCCACCTCCCACACTCCTCCTGCTCTTGAGGCCCATTGGCTGGGTCGTGTGGGCGGAGCCAAAAAAGTCCCCCAGTGAGCAGCTCCGTAGTCTGAAAGGGCGGGGAAACAGCCCAATGAGCATCACTGCAGAGGAGCCAATCAGCTAGAAGTTGCTGGGGCCGCTGTGAGCCACTCATCAGCTGGCAGTCTGAAAGGGCGGGGAAACAGCTCAAAGAGCATCACTGCAGAGGAGCCAATCAGCTAGAAGTTGCTGGGGCCGCTGTGAGCCAATCATCAGCTGGCAGTCTGAAAGTTTGCTGGGGCCCCTTCGGCTGTGGCTCTCAACAATTGATGTAGCATGATATCATTAGTTATAAAGCAGCTTTCCATTACTGTAACAAATACCTGAAATAAATCAACTAAAATAGAGTAAAGATTTATTATACTTCATAGTTATGGAGTTTTCATGTGGTGGAGGAAGCTGCTCAGCTCATGGCAGAAGGGAAGCAGAGACGTAGGAAGGGCCTGGGGTCCCAATACCTTATTCAAGGTGCACTCCCAATGACTGGGAAACCTCCCACCAGGCTCCACCTTTTAAAGGTTCTACCACCTCCAATTATACCATAGGCAGGGACCATCCCTTTAACACATGTGAGTTTGGAGAGCACTTATCTAAACAAATAGGAGATTATGCCCTTGGCTGCCAAAGGTTTATGTCCATCTCTTAATGTAAAAATGCAGTTAGTCTATTTCTAAGATATCAAAATGCTGTTCCAGCATTGCTCAAAAGTCCAAGTCCACAATCTCCTTAGAGACTCAAGGCAAACAAGAGTTTGTGATCACCTGTAAAACAAAACAAAACAAAACAAAAACAAATTTTATGCTTCCAAGATAAAGTAGCATAGGGTAAACACTCCTGTTCCAAAAGGAAGAAGAAATGGAGTATTAATATGGAAGGATCCAACCAAAGTGGCACAAAAACCCAAGCAGGGTGACATTAAGTCCTAAGGTTACCTTCCGAAGTTTGTTTTTGCCCACTGTATGACCACCAGTATTTAGAGGGAAGAGTTAGTGGGAAGGAAATCAGGTTTCTCCTTCTCTCTCTCCCTCTCCCTCTTTTTCACTTGATTCCGATAAGCTAGCTGGATAAGGAAAATGACCAGACACTTGCCCTAATGACCATCTCAAATAATTCAGGTAGACAAAATATTTTTTACTCTTTCCACATTTCCTTATTGGTGCATTGTAGTTGTACATAAGGATGGAACTTTTTGTTACA